TGACCATAAATTTATGTGTTAACAGTTATATTAACATTTATGAAATAAACTTTTCAAGTCTTTTAAGAAATATTATAGAAAAAATATATCTTCAACTTTACTAGATATTGCACATTTATTCTCTAAAATGGTTATTTATACTTCTACCAGGACATAGAAATTCCTTCTCTACATCTCTCCAACATGTCATACTGATACATATGAAATTGCATTTTGTGGTCTTTTTAATGCACATCTTTTTAGGTATTAAAGGTCTTGTAGGTTTCTTTTTCTGTGATCTGCCTCTTAGATACTGTTAGGAACGAAATCATTGCCTTAAAATTCACATGTTGAAGGCTTAATCCCAGTATCTTAGAATGTCATATTACTTAGAGATAGGGCCTTTAAGGAGGTAATTAATGATAGAAGAGGTCATAAGGGTGGGGCTCTACTATAATATGACTGGTGTCCTTATAAAAAGAGGAGACACCAGGGAGGCAAAGAAGTAAAGGCCATGTGAGGACAAGAAGATGGCCAACTGAGAGGCCTCAGGAGAAACCTACTCTGCAGGAACTTGATCTTGGACTTCCAGCCTCTATAACAGTGGTTCTCAACCTGTGGGTCGCGACCCCTTTGGCGGTCGAACAACCCTTTCACAGGGGTCGCCTAAGACCATCCTGCATATTAGATATTTACATTATGACTCATAACAGTAGCAACATTACAGTTATGAAGTAGCAATGAAAATGATTTTATGGTTGGGTCACAACATGAGGAACTGTATTTAAAGGCCCAGAAGGCTGAGAACCACTGCTCTAGAACTGTGAGAATATAAATTTGAATTGCTGAAGCCACCCAGTCTGTGGTATTTCGTTATGGCAGCTCTACATATACATTGCCTGTTGTGTTTTTTTTTGTTATTGTTTTTTAAATTGAGTTATATGTGTCTTTTTCTTATTGGAGTTCTTTATTGTAGATACTAATCCTCTGTCGATTGTATACATTACAGGTATCTTAGACTGTGGCTTGCTTTTTTACTTTGATTATAATTTGGACATACAAATTTTTAAAAATTTAATATAGTCAAATGTATTATGGTTTGTATTTCTTGTGTTACTCTCTGAGCCTCATCTTTAAAATGAAGATAAAAACAGCCCTTATTTACAAAGAAGTAAAAGTCCTATTCCATAGGCTTGTTTATAAATGTGATAATGTATATAAAATGCTTTGCACAGTACTTAGCTCTTATTATTATCATCATCACAGGACACACAAAAAATCTTAGTTTCTGTTTATATATTGCCAACAAAGAGATACTCACCACCTAACACATCATTCAGTGTGCTATAAATTTCTTCAGAAAATGTGATTTTAGACTCATTTTCCTTTTTTACATTCTTTATTTCATTCTGTATTAATAATAAAAAAGGCATTATGAATACTTCAAATACCATTGGCCTCTCCTAAAGGTATATGTACATTGCTATGTAATTTTTGTTAGTATATCAAGTATGTGGATCTAAATGATGCTCTAAAAAAGCTCTTCTCTCTTATAAAGTTAGCTGGTTACAAATTTCTATTCAATATGCTTTTTATAGCATCGTTCCACTTATTGAATGTACCTGAAGTACAATAAAAACTGAATTATATAACTATCTGTTTTTTTTTACTTGTTGCTAATTCAGATCATTCCTTCTAATTAGATTTTTAAAGTATCAGGAATAAAATACTTGAAAAATAAAATAGCAATATTCACATGTATTGATGTTATAGTCATACAAACTTCTTGGTACTCCATTACTCATTGAATTTCAAAGATCACTTCTAATTCTTGTCTTACACAATATTACTGTTTTTAGCTAAACTAAGCCTTTGGTCTATAAATTTTCTATTAAAAAAAAGAGGGAGGACTTCCTTATATAAGTAATTAAAACATTCATTCTTTACAAGTCAGTGCACAGCAACTTATTCCAAATTAACACCATAATACTATGACCAAATTTTTTCCAAAATGAAAATAGACCAGATGTCAGGCTCCTTGTGTTCTTGTTCTCTAACGTAGTTGTTGTGGCTATGTCTTCTGGTATACTCATGGGACTTCATGAAGAGACTAGAAAGGATCAGTTTTAACACTGTTTGTAAAGTTCTACCTTTCTTGAAAACCAGTTCCACTATTCCTCTCTTCTGTGCCTCCACTGGAGATTCCTTTATTATTCTTTGTTATTTGTTGAGGCTATTTTTCCACTGATTTTTAGAAAGAGTGGAAGGGAAGGAGGAAGACAGAGAAAATGAAACATCAATGTGAGAGAGACAGTCTATTGGTTGCCTCCTGCATGAGCAGCCCGGGCTCAAGCCTGCAACCGTGATAAATGCCTGGAATCGAACCCAGGATCCTTCTGTCCACAGGCTGATGCTCTACCCACTGAACCAAGCCAGCTAGGGCTGTTCCTCATATTTTTTTTAAAAAAATGTTCATATGGAACACAATGTGAATGCTAAATGCATCTGTATCTCCCAGACCTCATAAGCAATGCACACCTGAGACAAGTCTGAAGTCATACTGCTGGTTTCCATACAGGAGGGAGAATTTGAGTGAGTTAAATCTTGAGAAAGACTGGTGAAATTCATGGCATCCACTTCTGACATGCTTTCTAATTTTTCATGAGAAACATCCACGTCAAAATATACAGGATCTGAAGGTGATCACCAAATTTTTTGATATTTCTTGTTCCTAACTGTTGAATGATGGAAGGCTTCTTTAAAAAAACACATAATTTTAAGGTCTTTTAGCATATGCAAACAAAAAACTTCCCCCCTCCCTTTGCACAATAAGAAAGCAGTAAAGTTCACTGCCCTAAATTTTAAAATATCATTTGCCAAGTTATTGAAAAATGAAGAATTTTAGTGCGAGTATACCATACCATGGTAACTTTGTATGGTAGTAAATAATTTGGACAAAAGAAAATTACCGAAAAGACTTGCGACCCAGAAGGTGAAGGGATATCTAAGTTATTTAATCAAAAGATATTCACAAAATATTATCAGAGACCTATTAGGTTCCACCAAACACTGACTGCATTTCTATTTACTTAATAATTGCTATTTGAATATTTCTTTATCAAGTCAAATCCAACATTGTAAATCAATGTTCCCTCAGGCACTTGGGGTTTGAAAACTTGGCATCCTTCTACCTCATTGTCCAAGTCCTGTCCATTTATCCTTTAAAAATGATTTTCATAACCCATGCTTTCTTTCCATCCCTTAGATCATTACTCTGGTCCATATTCTTATAATTCCTCAGGTCTGTTAGGGGGTGGGGATGGAAAAGATGTCCAATCACACTGACTTCAAATTCTTCTGCTTGACTTTCTATGTCTTCCATAGCCTGAACCCACTTTACCTAGCCAATACTCCCCTGCTCCAGTAGGATCAAGTTCACGTTCCTGCAAATAGGTCATGCCCCTTACCACTTCAGTAGTCTGTCCTTTCAAGCGTTTCTCTCTCCTAAACTTTCCTATCTAACCACTTATCTATTTTTTAAATTCCTAAAATCTTTAGTCTAAATCTCTCATAATTAAATACCTATTCGTTTTACTGTTTTAGTCTTAACCATTGTTTCAAGCGAGTTAGTGTTTATATTCAGATTACACATACTTCTAGAAGAGTCCATTTATGTTCTACAATACTCCCTACAGCAAATGGACCAGTGTTGTCCAGGATAAATATTAATTTAACCCAGCATTCCAATTATTTATTTCTATTAAACCTTCCCAATCTACAGTCACTACCATTTGCCTGGATTACTTGGTTGAATTATCAAATTAATAAGTAATTTATTGAGGATTAGTGTTTTTCAAACTTACATCATCCTTTGGTTAAGGATAAAAAAGCCACTGAGCCTAGCAGGCTAGTCAGGATTGGTGAATGGCTCAACTTTATGCTCAATTTTTCCCTATTTCCAAACACATAAATATTGCCTAGGTTGTGGTGAAGGGAGTTTGAAAAAGCGTTAATTTCCAAATGCAAAAACTGCAAGGGCCTTATCTCTTAAATTTGGGAACCTAGAACTTCCAATTACACGTTTACACCTTTGTTCATAGGGCACAATCTGCCGATTTATTTTGTTAGGCTTACTTTTACCATCTTGCATTCCGATCTTACCGGATGTACGTTAAACTTTTAAAATATTTATTCAAATGTTTCCAGAGATACTCTAAAGCTGTTTTAAGACCGGCGTCAAAAGAGGTGTCACTGGATCTCGCGGGAAGAAAGTGAGGGGGTGGCCGCAGGGGCGTCTGCTCTCGGGTCCAGGCCCCGCCTCTCCGGCGCCCGACCCCGCACCACCCGGCCCAGCCTCTTAGCGCCGCGGAGACCGAGGGGGCGGGATCCGCACGAAATAAATGAGAGAGTAATGCAGGAAAAAAAAAAATGAAAAAAGAGGTGTCAGTGGAGTTACTAGTCAAAACTCTAAGGTTTTGTTCTTAAATTCTTTTCAGCCGTTATGACAAACCAGCTTTCTACAAGCACTTCTCATTTTCACCTCAAAACAACGAGCCAAACTCTTTGAATCGCAAAAGCGTGCTCACTTCCAGGGTCCATGCAGTTTCTTATACCCACAATAAGGATCTCGTGCTTCCACCCCCCCGCACCGGTTTTGCGGGAGGGAGAAGAACACTTTCCAACCTTTCCTACGGAATCCCCCGTCGGGAGGCAAGCGCGACGAACCG